TAAACTGCTGTATTACACTTTACTAGTAAAATGGTGGATTTATATGACCTTCATCGACACAGCAATTTGTTTGTTTTACAAATCAGGACCATTGTGGATAAAATGTCTTCTTCACCATGAGTAAAAGTTTTAAAATTTTGGTTAACTGGCACTTTAAGATCTACTTTATGTATTTTTTTCATAGTCCAACAAAAACCTGTTTAAGAAAAAGAACTTGAGCTTATCATTATCTAAAGTGTATCCATCTTTACTTCAGATATAAAAATTAAAATTGTATGTGTATTGTTTTTAGATTAACATAAATATGTTGCTAAGTAGTTATTATTATTAACCATCTATTTCTAATAATTTTTCCTTTTTACAGTTCTATTTTATTAATCTATTATAAGGCCTTTCAACTGTGTTTGTTTGCAAAGGCCAATATGAATAAAGCATGAATTATTATTTGATGAAAGCTGTACTGGTATTGGATCGATTTCCTAGCTGTTGTAGGAGATTTTGTGAAAAGAAGCCACTTTTTCCCCCTTAATCAATCTCTACTGATGCCAAAGAAAAATAGAAAAATGTTTTTTTTCCCAGGAGCACTAATCAAGGTCCTAGGTCTAATAATAAGATCAGTGGTATTAGAAAAATCTCCAGGGTGGTTTTAACAATGAGGCAGAGAACAGCAAGTAGGAGGGTTATACAGGTATTTTAATTGTGAGTATGTAAATATGTCCTCATCCTTAGAGATCAGTGTGTGCAATTAAATTATTTAACTCTAAGGTACACTTACTAGCCATATCTTATTTTATCAACACATGTGTGGTGTCATATCAGAATCAGTTGTAGAATAATACATATATAAGCCTAAATATCAGTGCAAATAAATACTTATTAAATGCACTAACTGTGTACGTTAGTCATTGTAACTGACAAGAAAGTTACTGAGCTTATCTGTTGAATTCAGTATATTGTGCCGTACACGTAATGCCATGGAAGGTGTGCTGCCGTCCATGGCATGCTGATGACCCTGCACTTGGCATGACCATAGGCGCCTTTAACCAAAGGTATGGTACAGGCCTGGCCCACAGCCTTAACTGTATTTGTTTTCATTCTGTAGTGCTGACCAATCCCGGTTCAAACTGGGAGGAGACCAGCCCGCCCTTCCCAATAGACACACCTCTATGTTCAAGGAACACCGCTTCACACACACACACTGTTGTTAGCGACGTAGCCACTACGGCCAGTTTTATTTTCCACATTTCCAATTACGGCTACTTCTTAAAACTTCGCTTTTTTTCCACCGTCGGGTGAATGCACGAATAGCGGCGTGTTGGTCGAGATCCCTTCCACTGGTGGGTCAAGTTGTTGCTGGTGGCGGTTCCCCGAGGTAAGTTAAAGTGGTGTTAGCTGGCTAGCCGGAGAGTCTGTAGTGATGAGGGGGGTTGGTTGTTGTGCTAACATAGCAATCAGTTAGCTACTAAATAACCTTGTCTAGTCTCCAAATAGTGAGCCAACGCGGATTACTTTCTGTTGCTGGTGTAGTTTAGTGTTATAGCAGAATAGTGTGGGAGTTTAATTGCGGTTGCGTTAACTTGCAGTGTCGACAAGTCAGTGGAACCAAGTCGCTGGTTAGGTTAGCAATCTAAGAGCGGCGACCATGAACTAGCTTACAGGCTAACCTGACAACATGTATTTTTGATCACCGTTTGTTCTTGCTACAACTGATTTTTATTGCTGGATCGGGGTGATGTCAAAGTAACGTAACTGACAGATAAGTAGTTTTGGCTGGGAGGAAAAAAAATCATTTTTGCAACTTCTAGCTTAACTTGCCGTTTATGCGACATTTGCATTAGCTGTGCGAAGTGTTAGCTTGTTGGCTAGCTGGTGTTCTTCTTGAGCTAACCACCTAGCATAGCCAAATTAATTACTGACCATGAAACTTAATTCAACTGCCCCAATTGTACCGGTACCCCGTACGCTACAAACTAAGCCACCGACTGTGTTGCCGCGTTATCTGATGCGATTAGGCATGGCTGTTTTCTTTTCGACGTCTTCTACCCAACGGCAAGGGTAACGTCAGGTAGCCAGTATGTTTTGCTCGTCTAATGTTTTACTTAGACTCCCGTTTACTGAGGGCTGTTAACGAAGACCCGGCTGTGACAAACTGATGTTCCGGTTTTTTCTCTAACATTTAACTGTCAGTCTGCACGAAGCAGAGGGTAACTTGCTTTCCACATAACTTTGAAGCTAGAACTGAAGTCAACGTCAGCCATCTGACTAGCGAAAGCGGTCAGCTCACCGAAAACCGATAGCCTTACAAGCTCGGTGTTTGGGAGAGAGGGGGAGGGGATACGGCAGGGCTACAGCCAGCAAGAGAGAGACAGCGCCTACATGCCTGCAAAACGTTGACTGTCGGCGAAATTTCAAGTTTCTTTTAGTCCTACTTAATCAGTTTCGACACAATTTACTATCTGCCGTATTTGCGTAGCGCTTCGGCATAGAAATTCTGAAGCTGGATACGCTACAGACACGATCTCGGCGAATGAAGACCGTACGCTCAGTCACCGTGTTTTCCGAAATTGGTTGTGCGCGGCAGTGAGGCACAATGTCTCCTCTCCTCTTAGCAAATGCGGTGACGTTTGCTTAGGAACCGTCGATAAATTTCTTTACTGTACACTCATGGTGGGCGCTGTGCTTGCAGCTACAAGTTTAACTTGTTACGTTTTCTCAAACGTGTTTTTTCCACACCCCCGTGTATTTTTTAAGTTGTAAAATATACAAATAAAACGCAAAAATATTAACTTAAAGTCTAGTCATCGGCGGTGTTCCCATATGCTTAAAGTCTTACATGCGACGAATGCATACAGGAGATGTACTTGTGTTATAAAAAAAATATTACAGGAGAAAAAAAATGCACATAATACATGTGCATTGAACGTTATCATTATCATTTGTCTCACTGAGTCGACTCAATGACAGCTAGCGTCACTGTCTTAATGTCTTTTGAAAGACGGTCCCTAGCCAGCCGCCACAGTCAGTCTGCTGAACATGATGGCATGTCTATTTACGGACAACCTTAAATAATCACTTTTGCTCATAGCTTTGTTTTTTTTTTCTACTACTACTTTTATGGTGGAGTGCGTTGGTATCTGCATTTTTTTTTATTATAATAACTCAGTAATAAATAAATACAGAATTATTTAAGTTAATTAAAATATGTCACTTTAATGGTTGATGAATTAATCTGTCTATCAGTTAAATCAGGACTATTCAGCCAAAAAATGTACACAGACTATATCTGTCAAAGAAGGTGTGTTTTCACACCACTGTTAGTTCTCTCAGAAGACCACCAAATATCATTGGGTTTAACCTCTCTAGCTTAAGTCCTGTAAAGCTTCTGTGTACACTGAGGAAGCACAATGAAGCAAAACAGATTGGTGTCACATTCGGAGCTTAATTATGTCAAAGGAGTGTTGTTTGGAAGCCACTGCTTAAAGCCCAGCTCTTAAGCCACTTTGCAACAATTGTCCTAATATTTGTTGCCATTACCTATCTGTGTGACACTTGTGAGAAAAGTTTTGCTTGAGTTGTTTATAGTGAAACTCAAATTTAATTTGACCATTGTGAATGAATGAGTACTTACTGTTGTTGTCACTGTTAAAACAATGCAGGCCAGTTTATTATCTATTTAATCATATGCAGTGGTATGTTAGACCGCTTTGGAGATCACTGTCTAAATCAATCA